TTATTATTTTCTAAGGTCCTCTCAGATCGAGTCTATTGCCATTCCTTTCTTCTTCCTTTTATTATTTTTCTTTTTTAAAACATTTTTATGTTTTACTAGTGATTTCACCTAAATTTTAGTTTTCATTTGATTAATGTTTTATTTGGGACAGCTTCCTTATTGCATTCTAAAGCATGTTTTCGCTACAAAAATTTCAAATTCCAAAAATTTGTGTGCTAGAAAACTACTTAAGTATAGTTTCATTAGGCTAATGAAGTGAGGCATAAAGTTAACCCATAAAGTATAGCTTCAACATGAATCTCCTTTTAAAATATAAAATCAACCTATATAGGTATAATTTCAATGTGGAATTGACATTAAGCATGATGTGAACCCAACTTGGTACAATTTTATTGAAGATCTTGATTTAACACACAATGTCAACCCAAAATGGGTGCAATTACTTGAAAGTTTTGTTATAGTTCATGGTGAAGCTAGGTACGCATAATTTGCCACCCACATTTGTAGTCGAGGGCTATATAAAAGATTAGACGTGCAATAAGTATCAAGCTCTTACCAAAGTGTGTAATTTATTTAAATTTATGTAAGATGTGCCAAACTGAAGAAATTTTTTTCCTTTTTTTTCGCTTTTTTTCCTCTTTCTCCTCCTTATTTAGGTGCCTCACTTGTGCGTGCTCTAACTTGCTCTCTATAGGCTCAAATGCACTCATATGTATTATATTATCACTTTTTTTTTTTTTGAAATTGCAATTGCATTAATAGAGAAAAGCTAATACGAGTTATTCAGTGATAGAAAAACTACCACTTTCCTCCTTGACCAAAGAAAAGAAAAGAGGAGAAACATTATTTAAACTATCCCACAAGAAATCACCCTCTAAGGCTAAATTAGCACAAAGATGAGCTAATTTATTACAATCTCTATAAGCAAAAAGAATTTAAAAAACTCCCAAAATCCTTAAGAAAAGAAATGTCTTCAAAGACCACCTCAAGATTCAGTGAATCTAGATTATCAACAACTTTGTTGAGGTAATTGATAATGTTCCAATTATCACATTCTATGACAATGCCTTTATAATCAAGCATCCATTCCTTGATCATAGTCTTAAGTTGCCGAAAAGTCAATAATTCCAAAAATCCACTATCCCAATGCAAACACTTATGACCAAAGGCCATAAGCATTATTCCTCTGTCGTCTCTAACAACACCACCGAGACCATCTGCATATGATTGAGTTAAAGCCGCATCTATATTAATTTTGATCCATCCGGTTGGAGGGGGATGCCAAAATGAATTCAGCTTAAAAAGCTGGTTAGCATTCCAGTGGTTCGAATAGAAAGAATATTTTGATGAGATAGATGCATAACATACCGTGTTAGAAATAATACTTATCAATCCAATTTCACTACCATCATGAACTAACTGATTTCTACTCTTCCATATGAAAAATATCAAGGAGCAGTAAAGATGAGTTATAAAAGGATTTGTTTTGGCACTCCTTTTCAAAAAATGAACACAATCCAACGTAGAATTGAACCTTTGGATTCAAAAGCCCCATTGAATGAGTAATGCCAGTGCTTCAGTAATCCTGCAGCAACTAGTAATGACATGCTCTGTATTTTCAATCAAACCGCACCCTCTTGGACATTGGTTGTTATTAATCAATCTCCTCTTCATAAGAAAATATGTAGTTGGTATTGGATCTTTTAATAGCCGCCACCAAAAGCAATCCACTCTTGGGTTCAGCTTAAGCTTTTTCAACCAATTCCAATCTTTAACTGGAACATACTGCTCTATTAATTTTTGAAATGCTGCTACAGCTAAAGAAGATCCTGTGAATTGATTAATTAATTCCAATTCATCCTTCAAGATATTTGAATAGATCTTAGTACCAGTAATAATCTCCAATAATGATATCCCAAAGTATTTCTCCAGCTCTTCCTTAATCCACAAACCATTGGCAATAAAGTTCTGTAATGGCGAAAATTCTGTTTCATGAACAACAATGAAGGTCCGCCATTCTTCCAACCTTTTATCTAATAGCCAAATATCTTTAAGAATGTTAACCATGGATCTCGAATGAAGCTTCCATCTCACACATGGTTTTAAAGCCTTAGCACCACTACACACAAATTTCCATGAAGGAGAAGTGCTTGGTCTATACTCATTAGACCAAATATATGTCCCATACTTAGCAGCCAATGTTTTGTTCAACATTATATCTAGATTTTTAATAAAGTCCCAAGAAAACTTAGCCCTTAATGGACCCACCATGTTAATCACGAAATGAATGCCTCTTCCTCCGTTTTGCACAGAATTACACATCTCCTCCCACGATATAAAATGCATACCATGAGTTCCATCCCTCTTATTCCATAAGAAATCCCTACATATCTTCTCAAACTTCCTCAAAATGCTTAAGGGAATGAGAGAACCAGTGATATAAAACAAAGGAATTGAAAGGATGATAGATTTCACCAGCAATATCCTTCCATCTAAGGAGAAAAATTTATTTCCCCAAATATCTAATTTCAAGGAAGCTTTCCCCAGTAGGCTGAAAAAATCTGAGCCAATCCTTCTTCTCAATGAGAACTTAAATCCCAAATAATGTATTTCCTTCACTTCATTAAAACCCAGAAATCTGGAAATTTTCCTTCTCATGCTGCTTTTAAGTGCCTTGCCAAAAAGAATAGAGGATTTGAGCTTATTTACTAATTGCTCCGTCCAGCTGCAATAGTCCCAAATCAGCTTTTTGAATTCTCTCAATTGTCTCATTCTTCCTTCTAAGAACATGAGGATATCATCTACAAAGAGAAGATGAGAAATTCTTGGGGTTTAAGGAGTCATCTTTACACCTAACATGTTGCCTTTCGACAAAAAAATGTTAGTCAGGAGTTGGGAACATAAAATGAACAAATAGGGGGACAGAGGACAACCCTGCCTGAATCCGCTTTTTGCTTTAATCCAACTTGAATCAACTCCATTAATTTGAATTGAGAACAAAGGATCAATCACACAATCCATCACAAGATTAGAGAATTTCCTTGGAAACCCAAAGTAGTCCAAGACTTGATTAAGAAAATACCAAGATAAGCTATCATAAGCTTGCTCCATATCCACTTTGATGGCCACCAATCCTTTTTTAGCTTTTAAAGTTATGAATTTATGAAAAACTTCTTGAGCGAGGAGAACATGACTGAACAAGGATCTCCCCCTAATAAAAGCTACTTGAACATCATCAATCAAAAAATGAATCACTTTGGTTAACCTGTTTAAAATCATTTTAGCAATGATCTTATAGATAGAAAGGCACAGACTAGTTGGTCTGAAATTAGAAGGGGTAAGAGGACTAGTGATTTTAGGAATTAGGACCACCAACATCTCCTTCCATTTGGAGCACATCTTACCTGATGAGAAAAATAGCTCAATAGCATTCCAAACATCCTCACCAATTGTCTTCCAATAAGCTTTAATGAATGAGTATGTTATCCCATCCACGCCTGGAGCTATATTGTTCCCAAGTTCTTTGATGACCAGCTCCAATTCATCTAATCGAAAAATCTGAGCTGAGAAATACAGATTCATCTTGACTTATGGATCTCGGGCTTGAAGGCCAGCCTTGTAGACAGCAACTCCTCAGCCTCCATTTGTTGTTGAAGTAATCTGTAAAAATTTCCCTGATACGCTCCTTCTCTTCAATGAGAATTCCCGATTCATCTTGGACTTGCTTGATTAGATTACCATTTCTACGTCCATTAACAAAAGCATGAAAGAATTTTGAGTTAGTGTCCCCTTCACCTAACCACCTTGCTTTTGCACTTTGCCTCCACCACGTACTTAATCTAGCCATAGTACAGTTATATTCATTTATTTTTGATCTGAGTAGAAAAATTTTATCCTGAGGAAAATCTTGGTCCCCCGATTCTTCCAATTGAAGCTCTTCTATTTCTTTCTTTAAAGTCACCTTCAAATATTCAAGGCTTTGATGTTTTGCTTTCTCCAAAAATATAATGCTTTCATCACCTTGGAAAACTTCTTATTTAAAATTTTCATAGCATCTCCACTTGACTGTTTCCCTCAAGATCTTTTAACAACTGCAGCAGCAGTCGGGTATGACAACCAGACATCCTCAAATTTCCGCTTACTCATCCTCCAGACTGTTGGCATGATGATTTTCAAAACAATAGGACTGTGAACTGATGCGATCCTCAGCAAGTGCCTAACAGCAGCTAGAGGGAGTAACTCCAGTGCCTTAGTATTCAACAGACATCTATCCAATCTTTCGTGAATACGAGCTGTTTCATTCTTGTTATTGCACCAGGTGTATTGGGCCCATGAACCCAATGTCATGTAAATCTGAACTGTTCATAAAATTCCTCATCTCCATAGGACCTTTGGAAGGGGACACTAACTAGTATGTTTTTTGCTCTTACTCGTAGTAGCCTTAGGCTTCATTTGGGAAAGCTTTCTTGCTGCTTTCTAAAGCAGCTTTTTAGTACCAAAATTTTTTTAACAATGAAATTTTGTATTAGAGAGTTGTTTTAGGAAGCAATAATAAAATTGCCCCAAATGAAGCCTAACTTTTGTGTAGTCCACTTCCATATGAGCCTCATTCACTCCATTCCATCTAGCTTGATAGCTCTCCCAAGGTCAATTTCCTCTCACTATGTCTCTATGGTTGATGCCCACATCACCATTCTCTATTATAAAGATAGAGGTAGACCTAAAAAGATTTGTTTAGAAAATATTAGACATAGACATTTTTTATTATATTTAAATAAGAATTTGACTCTTAACATGAAACTTATCATATTGGAGAACGAATGAAAATAGCTACTTATTTGGTATTGATAGAATTTATCATAGGTGATACTGCAGAACAATACCAAATTAATCAGCTCAGAATTGAATTTGAATTTGTTTAATTCATATTAAAATGATTAAATTTGAAATCGATCCAATGCAACTATTGAGGTTCAGTTGTTGTCACTCCTGCACCAGAGTTTAAAAGAAAATTATATTGAATGCATTCTTTGTTTTTTCAAACTCCACTTCATCTTAAGTACAAGATGAGCAAGATCTTGCTTGCCTTCTCTATTTAATCCATAATAAACGGTCCTAAAATTGACTGCGCTAGGGATGATCTGGCTCTCCAGCATGTCGTGAATTAGCTTGAATGCATCTGCAGACCTTCCTTGTTTGCAGAGACAAGTCATGAACATCGAGTAAGTCTGAAAATCAGGGAAGGGCCCTTTAATCTTCATACGGTGAAAGATGTTCAAAGCATCTGAGAACATCCCCATGTTCATGAACCCACGAATTAAAGCTGAGTATGTAATGACAGTTGGTTCACAACCTTCTTCTCTCATCTTCTTGTATATCTCCAATGCCTTTTCGATGTGCTTCTTTCTGAAAAAATGGACAATCAATGATGTCTTTATATGTACTGACTGTGAAATTCCAGCTCTTTTCATGTCTTCCAGCTTCTCTAAGGCCGCCTCTAATCTTCCTTTTCTTAAAAGTGCATGAACAATGCTTGCATAAATGTATTGATCCACTTTACATCCAAGATTTTCAAACTCATCTGTTAGAACAATGGCTTCATCAACTTGTCCTGCCCTGCATAAAGACTTGATGAGCAGAGAATAAGCAATCTGGTTTTGGAACCCTCTCTTACATAAGGAATTAACTGCTCTTCTTGCTTCTGAAAACTTCCTTGATTCACACAGAGAAGAGAGAAAAATGTCGACCATCTCTTTATCTGGCATATAGCCTGAAGGCAACATTTCTTGGAATACTTTGATTGCCTCTTCTATCTTTCGACCTTTCTTTCCACAAAGATATACAATCAGATACTTGAATGTATCGCCATTTGGTTGATAACCTTCAGATTTCATCTCTTTGAAGGTCTTCAGAGCAATCTCTGTTAAACCTGCTTGGCCATACTGGGATATCATGATCGTCCATGTATTTGGCTCTATAGAACAACACCTTCTCCTCATTTCGTGATAAAGAGTTCTCATATGCTTGAAATCCTTCCCACTGCCTGCAATTTTTATAGCCATATTATATGTTTCAGTGTTATGGGTGTAATTAGGCTGTTTTCCAACCCAAGAGAAAAATTGCAAAGCAGAACTTCCATGTCTCTGAGATCTTCGCAGAACTGCCTCAACAAGTTCAGGTGTGAAAGTAATAGTGCTTCTATCTAGTGTTTGTAGCAATAGATCACTATTAGCTGAGGAGGATAAGATTCTACAGAGTTCTTCTACATCATTCTCATCAAGCACATTTGGTGGCTCTCTACAAACCAAATTATGATCAGAGGAGCAGACTGAAACCTCCTGATGCTCAGTTAAATCGTAGAATTGTTCACTCTCTCTATGACTGAATCTGAAGGATCTGTGTTGCTGCTCAGCCATTCCTGCTTTTTCCAGTTGGCCGTTTCTTTTTAAGGAACTTATAACCAGCCTAAATATATGATCTGTTGGATTTATCTTACAAGCAGACATTTCACTTAATAGCTTAAAGGCTTCGTTGGGGTTTGAAGCTTTGCAAAGTTCTTTGATGAAAACGGAATAAGCCTTCCAAGTAGGCACCAAGCCTTTCCTTTTCATGTCGTTGAAAACTCTCCAAGCTTCAGAAATGTTGTTATGTTGGACATGACCAGCAACCACTGCTGTGGTTGCCACAATATCTGCCTCAATACCATTTTCCAACATCTCCTCATAAATCTCACAGGCTTTTCCATATTGATCTGATCTGAATAGATGTTGGATAACTTGAGTATAAGAGGAAACCATAGGCAAGCAACCAAGTTCTCTCATACTATGCAACAATTCCAAGGCTTTCCAAGCTTTTCCTTTTCTCAAGAAGCCATCAATCAAACACCCATAAATCCTATTTCCAGCATTCAAACTATGCTTCATATCATCCACAATCCCCATAGCTTCGTCTATTCTTCCAACTCTACAAAATCCCTTCACTAACGCCTCATAAACATTTGAATCAACAGATAGATTTCTCACTCTCATTTCCTCGAACAACTTCCAGGCTTCATCTACTTTTCCTGAAATACAAAAGCTCCTCAACATGATGGTAAGCACCTCAGTTTCAGGAAGCTCTGCAATCTTCATCATATCTTCTCCAACCAAACTTGCATTGACAATATCACCAGCAATCGACAGACAATCCATTAGCATTGTGTATATCTTTATATCAACTTTCATTTTCTTCAAAACCATCTCTTTGTAGAACTCAAATGCTAGTTCTGCCTTCCTCGCACTACAAAGTCCCCTAAGAATTGCTTCATAAACTCCACTATCAAGCTTGCAGCCTGATTTCCTCATCTCCTCAAAAGTCCACAGAGCTTTACCAATCTTCTTTACATTTGCATACTGTGAGATAAGAATTGTCCATGTTTTAATGTTCTTTGAACACAAGTCAGCATCCATATCCTCCATCAGCTTCTCCACCAAGTCAAATTCTCCAGCTTCACCTGCAATATACGACATGGTATTATAAGTCTCTGTAGTGTGGCGAAATCCAGGCTGGAGCTTCATCCAGTTGAAGAATCTAAAAGCCAAGCTGCCAACTTTGAAGCACCTCTTCAGCACCATCTCCACGGTCTCAGGAGTAAACGCAATTCCCAGCACTTTCAAACGCTGTTCCATGGGAATTTGGATATTATCTGAACGGATTATTTCTGTTACCTTGTGAACAGCTGCGCTAATTTCTTCCAAGTCGGTAGCTTTCAGCAGTGCCTTTCCTGCAATAATCTGAGAAGTGCTATTACTTTGTCGGACATTTTGACGAACACCTTGTGTGCTTGTAGTGGCTTGCTGTTCAGTGTCCCTCACGTTAATGGGGACAATCTCTGTGATCATTTGATAAAGAGAAGGAGGAGAGGCGGAGGCCGGGCGTCGGAGGGAGGATTTGCAGCGGGAGAAGAGGAGGCTGGCGGGTGATGGGCGGGAGAGGGAGTGGGGAGACGTAAGCTTTGACGCCGTCCTCATACCTTGGAAATTCAAATCACTCGTCTTTCAAGTATAGAATTTCATATTCCCAAAAAAAAAGTATAGAATTTCAAAGAAAGGCTTCCACCTTGCAAGGAAAATAGGTAAGGAAATCTATATATCATATATTATTTATTTAGATATAGTATTAAAAAATTTATATTTATTTATAAAATATTTTAGTTTTTAAATTATAAAATAATATCATTAAAAAACTTATGTAAAGCGAAATACGCCTTTTAATATAAAACTTTTGATGTGATTTAGTTACTAGAATATTATATAAGTAAATATAAATAATTTGATGTTGTATAGAAATATAAGATTATGTTTGTTGCATCCTATAATATTTACGGCGTTAGAGAGATATAGAGTTCAGCGTCCAAATTTTGTAAGAAAATCCACTATACATACAGATAAGAGAGAAGATTGCAAAAATTATAAGAGACGCTAAGATTTTTATGTGGAAAACCCTGAAAAGAGAAAAGTCGCCGCGACTAACCCAATTAAAATGATTCCACTGATGTTTATTATTGATAATAATGAGACATTTCCTTGGGGGGAAGGACTTGGCTCAATGTAACAAATATACAACATATAGAGCACATTACATGGTGCGAGTTGGAAGAATCTAGTGATATGATTGTTGTCCTCAATAGAGTGTTGATCTGTTCGTTTGGTCTATATGATCATAATCGAGCGACGGTGGTCATAAGAATTGTAGTTGGCAGACAACGCATGTCGGAGGGACCATAATCAGCTTGCAACAGGTCGAAGGGATCATGGTCAGGCGATGGTGGTCGGAGGAACCATAGTTGGTGGGCGATGACACTCAGAGGGACAGTAGTAGGCAAGCGATGTTGGTCGGAGTGACCGTAGTCGATGGGCAATGGTGGTCGAAAGGACCGTAGTCAGCGAGCGATGATGTTCGAAGGGATTGTAGTTCACAAATAATGGAGGTCAGATGGATCATAGTTGGCAGGTGATGGATATTAGAGGGACCATAGTTGGCGGGTGATGGAGGTAAGAGGGGCCATGTCTGCGTAAAATGGAGGTCGAAGGAATAATAATTGGGTGATCGTAGTCAAATGGACTATAGTTGGTAGGTGACATAAGTCAAAGCGATTATCTTCGTGGTAATGGAGGTCAGTGGGACCGTAGTCAAAGGGTTTGTAGTCGATGGGCGACAGTAATCGAAGGGAGTGTAGTCAATGGGCAACATAGGTCTAAGGGAATGTAGTCTGCAGGCGACAGATGTTAGAAGGAAAGTAGTCGACATATGATAGAGGTTGGAGGGATTGTAGTTGGGCGACGGTGATTGGAGGGATTATGGTCGATGGGCGACAGAGGACATAGGGACCATAGTCACTGGGAGATGGTGGTCGGAGAGACCATAGTTAGTGAGTAATAGTGGTCGGAGGGATAATAGTTGATAGGAGATGAAAGTCGGTGTTGGTCGACGACAATTGTTAGTGGTTGGGTAAAAGTTTGGCGGCAGTCGACGATTGGGTGATAGTCTGACAATGGTCTAGGGGAAGTCCAAAGGTGGTAGACAGATTTCCACCCAGCCACTAACCCAAGGGTGGAAGCTTGGTGGTTGTCGGCGATCGGGAGGTGGTTCGACCATGGTAGGATGGAAGTTCGATGGTAATCGGCGTCTGGGCGGTAGTTTGATTATGGTTGAGAGGAAGTCTGGCAGCTGTCATGGTCAGGTGGAAGTCTGAAGATGGTCGGTGATTCGGTGCAAGTCTGGCGACAGTTTTCGACTGGGCGGTGATCCAACAATGGTCGGTGGAAGTCTGATGGTGGTCGGGGCAATGGTCCAACAATGGTTAAGCTGAAATCCGGCGACGATTGGCTATTGGGTGGAAGTCCAGTGGTGGCCGGGTGAAAGTCTAGCGGTGGTCGACAGTTAGGTGGACGTCTGGCGGTGGTCGGCAACCAGGTAGAAGTTCTTCATCTGTCAGCAGACAAGTGGAAGTCCAGCAGAGGTTAGCACCTCGGTGGTTGTCTGAAGATGGTCAGTAAGAAGTCCGGCTACGGTCAGCGGTTCGGTGGATATTTGGCGGTAGCCAGTGATTGGGTGGTGGTTGACAACCGTGCAGTGGTCCAACGATGTTAGGAGGTTGGGTAGTGTTCAACAATGGTTTGGCGGAAGCCCAGTGGCAATCAATGGGTGGGTGGTGGTTCGGACGACCAACAAAAGTTTACCTTATAGCTCTTTCTTATCTCTAGCCAAAGGTCAAAGCCTGCAAAGGTCCAGGCCTGTAAAGTTCCATATCCTCTTTTATATGGGAAGAGAGGCTCCATTTATAAATTTTTTTAGAGTGGGATGCCCCTTAAATATGAAGAAGCAGTAAGGCAAATTCAGAGTGCTCCATCAAACGACCCATATTGATCCCCTTGATCATAAGGCATTTTTCAAGAATTTATGTGTCCAAATGATGTTAGAATTAAGTGCTTGTGGGCTCGTTGGATTCATCTTGTTAAGTCACTCAATTCGATTATAAGCATGTTATATTTGGATATCATTTGATCATCAAATTTATGCTTTGAACCTTCTAAATGTGCTTCGGTCCTTTAATTTGGATTCATTTGGGCTAGGATTGGATTGATTTTGGCGTCGTTGGGTTCATATCTTCGAGACATTCAGTTTGATGATAAGTTTGCTAAAATCAGAGTTTGGATTGTCCCAAATTTAATTTTAAAAATTTTTTAACTTGGACATTCCTTGAGATTCATGTTTGATCATGGCAATTTTTGGTGATATATCAATGTTGCTTCTATGTAAATCATTCGAATTAATATCCATATCCATTAGTTAGTCTAGTCCATTCGAAGTAAATCATAATTCTTGAACTTTAATTAGAAATGCAAAACTTTACAACAACATCAAGCATTTATCTCACTTTAAGAGCAGTATTATATAAATCTTTTTTCTCCATTGTGTCCTATTAAGAGTCATGTTTCTAACCATGTATTTTTAGGTTTACCTCTACCTTTTATAACATACGTCAGATCTAGTACTTTTACTCTCCTAATCAGGTCATCGAAAGGCCGATGCTTTATGTGAACAAAGGCAGTTAGAAGTTAGTATGCTTGAACGCGGGTCGCTGAGAAGGAGAGGCGGAACACTCCCAACTGGACAAGGAGTTCAATAAGCAACCATACAAGCTACATCAGATTTGTTATGTTTTTTTAGGTGATAAATTACATATAAAATGAACATAATGCATGTGCATACCAAATATTGCTTAGATTGAGGGCAAGCCTGAGCCTTGACTTAAAATAGGAGAGAGCTCTAACATTAGAACATCATTGCTGCCCACCTTTGTCGAACCACGAATACGTAATAATCATCGTCTGACCACTATTATTAGACCACATATGTTAAAACGCAGCCATCAAACCACTACCATCATATCATCATTATCCAACCACTGCCACTTAACAATCATTATTAAATCACCACCATTGAACCATTATCGTTTGACTACCATCACTGGAACTCCAACCTTTGACCACCATCGCCCTAATATGGTCCTCCATCCCTTGTTTTCTGAATATGGTTCTCCTGCCACCATCACACAATTATGATCATTCAATTGTCGTCACTTAATTATGGTATCCCAAATACTATTGTCAACCTACTATATTTTTGCCAATGCTGTCTGGATACGATCTCCTGACCATTATGATTTGATTGTGGACCTCCAACCACCATTGTAGAACTATAATCCTCCTACCACTAGTGTCCCATTATAATTTTCTGGTTATCATAAATTGGATTTGGTCATTAGACCATGATCACCTGATTATGATCCTTTAACCACATTCGTATGACTATAGTCTTCATACCACCATTGCCTGACCATTATCCTTGGACTGATGCCATATAACTATATTTCTTTGAAGAACATCGCGGGCTATAATCATTTGATCACTGTCACTCGAGTATATTGCTTTTATAGTAATCAGCCAACTTCATTGACAGTCATTGACTTTGCTCCATCATCACAACAATGTAAAACACATCAACTCATATTGGGCTAATGAACACCATTTACATTAATACTAATACCCACTAATTTAGTCGTATGTCATCGCCAATAACATTGAGGCACACTGCCATCTTAAGATTAATGCACCCAGTAATCGTAGAGTCTAACGTCCATTAACTTTATCACCACCAACATTGGAGGATTTCATTAGTGTTGAAGGTTAGTAATGATATACATTTAAACCCTGAATTCTAAACCTAGAAGGATATTATATATGAGATTACCAACTTCGAGCACTCCTTAAAACTTATTCTAACTTTGATCAAAATATGGTCGTCAGATGATTAAACCTTCTTCAAAGCTTAATGAGGTTCTTTGTATTTCAGAATAATTTTGAAGAAGTTTTGAGCATGTTTCAAAAATGGTTCAAGCATGGTCCTAAAAAGTTATGATCAATGCTGATACATTGGTCAAAAAACTTTTAATAAGGTTACTCAAATTTTGATCAATATTTAATGAAACTTTGATCAAAGTTTAAATTCATTATTTTGCACTTCAACTAATTTCTCATTGACTCAATTGAGCTTTATTGCGAATACATATAGATATATGCACGTATCACATATAGAGAAATTTTTTTGCAAATAATGCTATTTTAGGCTAATTACATCGTTATGTTGAATATGAGAGGCAAACGCAAAATATTATGCCTGTAGAGAGATATTGCATTATTTTCAGTGGAGGTGTTATTGACGATCAATGCTCAGTTTAATGGTTTGAACTCATGATTATAAATAAAAAATACACATCATATTGTTTGATGAAAATAGTTTGTCTTGATGATCTATAAAAACACATCGTATAGTGATGCATGTGTTATAAGATTTAAGCTTTTAATAGTATTTAACAATGTTATAGTGATATATATATATATATGATCTTAAATGATACATTTTATAGTGATGTAGCTCTTGTGATTGTACTAAAACATTACTATAAAATGTTGTAACTACTATAAAATATAAGATTTCCTATTAAAACTTTAGTCTCTATTATAAGGCAATCATTAATAT